AGTAACATCGGTAATGTCAGTCACGTCAGCAGCGCCAATGCCACGTTGCGGCAGAAAAGTGAAAAGGATCCACTGGCCTGTCGACCAAGACGACCAAGACGACGAAGACGGTTCTTAATACGTAATTTTCTACGTACGCGGACTTTGCATTGCAATATCTCCACTCATAGGGCACGTAGGAGAAAAGTAAAAACACTTTTATTATGCAAATCGTACCCAAGCTATCGATTAAGCGCAGTCTCAAGTTCGTCGGATCAGCGGTTGTTGAGATCCGAAAATATGAGGGCCCGTCAACTCGTGTACTCGCGTAAACTTACACGGTCGGTGTCGCGCGCGTGGTTTAGCTTGTCGCTTATACTTAGTCGCTTATACTTGGCGCGAGACACTACCGTGTCTCGTGATTACGGAAAAGCTTGTGCGATGGCCCTTTTTTTTTTTTACCCGGTGGAAATCCTCATGGACCGTCACCCCGCCTCTCTGGGAAAGAGACGGGGTGGTGTGTGGGACTCGTCTCCCTGGCCCCTGGGCAGTTGACACCCATGGGGCCAGTAGTGCAATGGAGACGCCTACCGCACTAAAACCACCGGGGGTGGACTTCTATGCGCTATATGGGGACTGCCGAGGGCACACGATCGCATAACTGCTCGGCAGCCCCCGCGCCGCGCGTTATCTCGCGCACCTCTACGCCCTGTGACTGGGCGTGGCCCTGGAAAGGGCCTTCTTCTCTAACGGCCCTGAGAAGGGCCTTCTCCTCCGAATTTGCGGCGGGGGTGCCACCAGGCCTCCCGCCGCGCCCCATGTTGTTGCAGGGGCGGGTGAGTCACGAGTTCCCAGCTCATGCCCGCCCCTAGGGTCCCAGACTCTCCTTCTTCCTCCTCCCCTTTTAGTCGCCTTTTACGACAAGCAGGGGCTACCCCGGGGCTATTCTTGGAGCGGCACCCGTACGCCTAGCATAGGACCCTACGCTCTCTGCACCTCTAAGTGTAGGTGCCTGACCTTAAACTGGCCAGCTCTTCAAGTGCGCCTTTTGTCGACGCCCGCCTATTCTATATCGCCTCTGTGGGGGGCCTCCTCCTCCGCCTCCGTCTTGTGGCGGAGGCACCGTTTCCCCCCTCCGCACTCGCTCATCTTCCTCCTTTCTCGAGATTACGCTCTCGCAAAAGCCGGAAAAGGCCGCCCACGCCTCCCTCTTGTCTACTAGTGCGTCTATAACGGCGCCCAGCGACAGGTCGTTGCCTATAACCTCGGACCTCGGACAAGGCCCGGCGCTCAACCCTCCAGGCTGGGCATTCCTCGAGGGTGTGTTGCGCCGAGTCTCTGTCTCCGTCACAGTGATGACACTTAGTGTCATTTTCTCGTCCTATACGACACACGTACTCCCCGAAACGCTCTTGCCCCCATCCGATCGAGCCATTCATCAAACCGAGGAAGAATGGCCTCGACCGTTCTCTTTCCAGGTCTGTTCGGTACGGACAGTCTGGATCTCCATTCCTCTCTGGTCCGTTCTTTTATTTGTAGCCGTATAGCCCTTCTCGTTCCCTTTGTTATTGGGACGTTGTTTCTCTTCAGCTCCCTCACGCGCTCGTATACCTCCGCGTGGCTCCTAGCGGCCAAATCGATTGGAGGTGATCCCGCTAATAAGGTAGCCGCCGTGTGAGACACGGTGCGGTAGGCCCTTATGGTTCTTACGCCATTCTCCTCTGCGTTCTATTCAGCACAGATCGTGCTTTCGCACTCCTCCCCAGGGCCTCCGACCAAACCGGTGCGCCGTACAACATTATAGAGTTCAGTACATTGCTGTAAAGCCTCCTTGTTTTGCTACTCGGTCCGCCCAGGTTAGGCATTAGCCTGGACAGTGCGCCAGCCACACTACCCAACCTGGGGGACAGTCTGGCGAAGTGTTCATCGAATCGCCATTTCCCGTCAATCTGGAGTCCCAGGTACCGGATACTTTCTCCTACCCGGATGCGCGTCCCCTCGATGTTTATATACGCCTGGGGCACGGTTCCCATGGGAGCCGTCGTGGAGGTACACAGCCTCTGTTTTTTTAGCGGCAACCTCCAGGCCTAACGCTCTAATTGCCCTGATGGCGCAGGCGACCGCCAAGTTAGCCTTCTCGGCCGCCCTCGCCCAGTCATCCCCACCCGCGAGCACCAAGGTGTCGTCAGCGTAGCACACCAAGGTGCTGCCGGCGGGCAGGGCCGCATCCAGAACCTCGTCGTATGCAATATCCCACAGGAGTGGTCCTAGGACCGACCCCTGCGGGACACCGCAGCCCGCCGCCCAACTGCGACGGTCGCCCCCTCTATCCGTGCAGGTAATCCATCTGCCTTTCAGATAGTCCCTAACTGTGCCGGCCAGGGGCCCCGGGAATCCAAACCTCGTTAAGGCCCTGTTGATGACCTCGTGGGGGAGGGAGTTGAAGGCGTTCGCTATATCGATAGCAACCGCCGTAACAACTCCCCCCCCCTCAATCACCAGGTCCGAGAGGGATTTGACGTACTTGATTGCGTCAATCGTTGACTTTCCCTCCCGGAATCCAAATTGTCTTTCGGACAGACAACGCCCCGAATTGTCCATGTGCCGGGCCAGGCGGGCCGCTATAACTCGTTCGAGTGTTTTGCCCACCTCGTCCAGCAAGCATATCGGCCGGTATCCATTAGGGGCGTCTTCCGGCTTCCCCTCTTTACGCAGGAGAACGAGACTGGAGTCCTTCCAGATTTCTGGAAACTTCCGTTCTCTCAGGCATGCCGTGTACAGCGCCGATACCCTGTCCGCCAGCTCCCCTAAAGCTATCCTCCAGACGGTGCCCGGGACGCCATCTGGACCTGGTGCCTTTCTGGCCTTTAATTTCTTTGCGGCCCTACTGATTTCCTCTCTGGAAACTGCCATGCTTTCATCCCATTCTTGAGGAGTTCCCTCCTCCACTGGTTCGTCGCCACCGTCCTGAACGGTTCCTCCCCGACCTCCCGCTGGGAACAGGGTGTTCACGACTTGATCAAGGAAGTCCACCCTCAATGATTCAACCGTCGGAGGGGCCCCGCTCGAAAGTCTCTTCAGAATGAGTTTATACGGCCTCCCCCACGGGTCCTCGTCCAGGGCGTCTATTAATTCCGCCCAGGCTGTTTCCTTAGCCTTTCGAATCGCCTGCTTTAAGGCGATTCGGCTCTCCCTATAGTTGGTCAGGAGAGTTTCTAGGCGTTCCCGTGCAATCGGTTTTTTCCTCTCTCTCTGCAAGGTTCTCCGATGCCGAATCGACGCTTGCCTTAATTCGGCGATCGCATCGGACCACCAAAACGCGTATCTTCGAGGAGTGAACCTGGCTCTGGGCATGGAACTGTCGCATGCCCGAGTCAGGGTCTCCCTCAGCCATTTGGCCTCTCTCTCCACGTCTCGTTGGGGCTCCCCCTGGGGCCAGGTGGCCGCCTTCAGTGTGGCAAGGAGCATGTCCTGATCTAATTTGCCAACCGCCCACCTGATACGCGAGTTGGTCCCCGAGTCCATCCTACCTCTCGCTGTTGGCCTAACGAGGGTCATCTCTATCAGGAGATGATCCGACAGCGTCTCAGCCTCCTCCATCACCCTCCAGTTTTCCACCCAGTTGGCTGCTGCCGGGGATGTCCATGTTAAATCCACAATGGACTCTCCTTGGGGCCTTACGCAAGTGCTCGCACTGCCTCGGTTTTCGAGCTTGAGGCCCAGGCGAGCCGCCCAGGCGACAACCTCCGCCCCCTTCACGTCTGGTCGCCGGGAACCCCAGTCTGCGGACTTCGCGTTGAAGTCCCCGGCGACCAGAATGGGTCTGGGGAGGAAACTTCTCAGTTCCCTCTCCATCCTGTCCAATCTATCCTCTAGTTCCATCCTGGTGAGGCTGGGCCTTAGGTACACGCCCATGATTAGGATCGTGTCACAGTCCACCAGGATCCAGCCCTCTCCCTCTGAGACCTTGGACCAGGGAACCTGCCTCTGTCCCGTTCTGCGCCATGTGATGGCTACCGAACCGTCCAGGCTCCCCGCCCAGTTGGGGTTCTTGGGAACGTTATATGGCTCCGCTATGACCCCTATGCCACAACCACGCTCCGCCAGGGTGTGCAGGAAAAGATCCTGCGCCTGGCGGGCGTGGTTGAGGTTCGCTTGAAGCACCTTTAGATGATTGAAGGCGCCGGTTCTGCGGCCTCCTCCGAGCCACTTGCTTCTATGCGCACAGCCAGATCAGCCTGGCTTTGCGTCCCGTGTGCACGATTTCCCCCCATAAGACCCGCCGGAGTGTCTAAATGGTCCCAGTCTAGGGATTCCGTCTTCCCATCTTCGACCTCCACATCCATGCTTCGGTCGATAAGGTTTACAGCAGCAGCCTCAGCCTGGTCTGCCTTGTGTGATCGTGGGCCCTGAGTTTGGGTTGCTGGCTGCTGTCGTGCCTCTCGTCTCTCCTTTTTTGCCGCCCTTTTTGACTTGGGCGGGCAAGCGGCCCCCCCTGCCTTGTGGGAGTCGGGCAGTCCCCTGTCTTTGCAGACCGCACACCTCGGCTTGGCGGAGCATCCGGCAGACTCGTGCCCCTCTTCTCCGCATCTATAACACACGTTCGTGCGGTCCTCCTTGCTTTTACATTGGGCCCGGACGTGTCCGCGTTCCAAGCACCTGAAGCACACGAGTGGCCTTGCCTCGAGCAGCTCCACCCGTGCAGCGACCCAACCGACTCTTATGCGGCCAGGTTCTGCCACCCGTTTTGCCGCCACGAGCGGACATTGAGCCCACACTGTTCCGAGGCCGTTGGCAGCCACTCTGATTGGGCCCAGCTTGATGTCTTGGCTTGAACATTGGCCTGCTCTCGCCACTGCGTCTCTTATCTCGTCTTGCGTGATAGACTCGTCCAGATTTTTGATCCGGAGTTCTGCCGTCTTAACGGGCCGCGCAACTCTCACCCCTTCCGCGTCCCCGACTACCTCCCTGATTTTCTGGACCAGGGTGTCTGCCTTCTCCTGTGCGTTTTCACCAGGGATTTCCAATATTAATGCCCCTGTGAGTCCCCGTCTTGGTCTCAGTTCCTCGATATTGATGTCCTCGAGTTTTATTTTGGACCTTATCCCTCTTATTCCCTCTTCGTACATCCCCTTGGGGAATGTCAAGGATACCGCCGCCGTTCTCGGAGCCCTCCTCTTCTTTTTGTCGTTCCTGGCTGGCGCGTTCACCCGTGTCTCTCCTTTGGCCTCTCCCCTGACAGCAGGCCCCGTCTTGGGCATTTGTTTCGAGCCCGAGGCTACCGGTGCCGGTTGGGAGGCCGACTTAGGGCCTTTGCCTTTTCCGCCTCTCTTCACTACTTCCGTCCAAGGGGTATCCTCCTTGTCCGGCTGCGGTGTTTTCTTGGACTGCTTCTGGGGCAGAGGTTGCGTCGCGCTTAGCCCGCCCGACATCTTTCCCCTCGCCGTTGAGGCCATAGCCCTACTTCTGGTACTGGGTTCCGCAATGGGGCCTGATCTGCCCGCCGGCCCCGTCTTTGTATCACTCGTAGTGCGCTTACGAGTGGCTTTCCCCCTCGTGGCCTCCTTAACCACCGTCATATCCGTAATGACAGGTAGTTTCCTTCCCACCGTCGGAGTCCTCACTGTTTCCTGGGGTTTACCTCTATTCAGGTCCTTAGTCGCGCTTGGGCCTGGCAACGCTGCCATGGCGCCTGTGCACCTTGCAGCCAGGTTCTCCAGGTTCTTCTTAACCTCGTATGGATCCCCTGCTACTACCTCTCGGATGGAGACGCCCTCCATCACGCGTCTCACGTTATCCATCACCACGTCTAGTGGTGGATCCTCTAACCGTTTCCTCAGCCCTCTGATTTTTGGCCTGAGGGAAATTCCTCTCTGTCCAGTGGGATGTCTTTGGCCTCCATGTCGATCCCCTGGGTTGAAAGGTCCATCGCTGTCTTGTCTGGGGCCGATCGTCCCTTTTTCCTCGTCTCCTGTTTTTGTAGCTCGGAGTTGAGCTCGTAGATTTTGAACTCAAGGGACCGGATTTTCTCCTTAAGTTCATCCGCCTCAGCCTTCTCCATTCTGGCCTCTGGTGTTGTGGCCTTTGACACAAGGACAGCTGCCGCAGCTCTCATTCCGTTCGTGCTCAGTTTGAGCTGCCTCACGAACGTCCCCTTGAGGTTCTTTGAACCTCTGGCAACTTTCTCCACTACATTAATAAAATTTAGCATGTCGGCCCCAATTTGGTCGACCGACATATCCTCCATTTGTCTGACCAGCTCTCTCTCCGGCGTTATGTTGCGGGGGAGAACTTTAGGGTCAAGAACCCTTTTCAGAAGCTGTTTTTCCTCTTTCAGCTACTTTATTTCCTGCCTATGCTTCTGCCGCTGGCGCATAAGGAGCCCTTCGCCAGTAGTGGGGGGCCTGCCCCTTTTGCGCTTTCCCCTCTCGTCAGCCTCCTCTATGAGGCTGTCGCTCGAATCCTGGCCAGAGTCGTTATCATACTTCTCCGCCTCTACTTCGGTATTCGAGCCATCAACAGACACCGCTGGTGATGTCTGCCGCTTGGGTCTCGTCTTTACCCCTATTGACCTTTGGCCAGTCTTGGACGAAGCCGGGCCCGGCTTGTACGTCCTCTTGCCCGTGGCTGCCCCGCTGGGGCCATCCGGGTCCAACGCCTTTGCGTTCGCTGCGCTCGTCTGCGCGCCCTCCTCCAGTCTCTTGAGCATAATGGTGGGTTTTGTTATGTTTGAAGACATGGCGGCAGTTAATGAGTTACCTGGTTCGCCCATCACGGGACCCCCACCGCGGTGGGGGATCTATCCCCAGTATAATAATTCCCTAATTATGGGCCGGGAGCGGAGAAGCCGCTTGTCGGGGAGCCACCCCTATCCCGGCCAGTGACTCGAATAAAAAACGTCCCTGGAGACGGCCAGGCCCACCATGATGTTAGAGTTTTATACTCACCCCAGGGACGGGGCGCGTGTCGGTCCGGCCGATCGCTTACCCCGCCCCCGGGCTAGAGTTCGCCGAGGAACTATCCCCCTCAGCATGAGTATGAGGGGACGGCGGCTAACCGGCCCCTCCATTCCCACGCCCGGCGTGTCGGCTTCAACTCCCGGCTAGGCTCCAGTCGGACGAGCGGGAGCGGTTTTCCCACATTGAACTTGCCGCTTCCTGTGGTTTTTGCCGGAGTGTTCCGGACTTACGCACCCACATAGTCCACGGCAGAGGTCAGGTACCAACGTCACCGCTCGTCCCCGGTCGGGGGGTTTACTACTCCCCCCTTGGTTAGTCTCCGGGAAATTTCCACCGGCAGCCGACCGCGGCTCACTCACACGCCACGCACACGACCGGTCCTCCGCCCTCCACGACCAGCCCCGTACGCCAGGCCGCACGCCCCAGCAGCGGGACGTCGGCCCCAGACGCAGGGACTGACCGCTTCGTCGCGGAGGACCGGGTGTTGGCCGGCAACTCCTCGGACCACCGGGCCCCGCCTGGGAATAAGTCCCAGCGGCCCCGGCAGTCCCCAGGCGATCGGGCCCCGCCTCGGAGACGTCCGAGCGGCCCCGATCCCCGTCTATCTTCCGGCCCACTCCGCAGATCCTGGGTACCAGTTTACCGCGGAGGTCCGGCCCCTCCCCCCGGAAGAGACGGACCACGTCCGAATCAACCGCGGGGAGGCCACGACTTCCGGCCCACCCTTCGGCCGGGACCACGTCCCGTTGTGTCTCCGGGGTCCGGCTCTCCCCCGCCAGCGAGCACGTCCACGACGAGCCCACTGACGGAGGAGCTCCCCTTGCCACCGCCTCCTGCCGGAACACCGGCGTGCAATGGAGACGGTGGCCTCCCCCCGAATCCCAGATGCCTGCCGGAACACCGGCGTGCAATGGCATCTGCGATTCCCTCCCCCTCGTCCGGGTTCCCCCCGACCCCTGTCGGAGCACCGACGTGCAATGGGATCGGGGAGGAGAAGACCCGGTACTGGTGGGAGGAGCAAGCTCCCCCCTATCGGCCCCAGCAGCCGGAGGTTTGAAGTCGGGGTACCTCACCCCCTACCAGCGATCGGCGGGCTCGTCCGCCACACGTGTGGTGAACGAGTCCCCCTTAACGGGGTCGCTGGACCCCGTCCGCCCTTAAAAGGGCAGAGGCAGGACTCCGGCAACGAGCACCCCAGGCCGGGAGGCCGCCGGCGCTAAAGCGCGCCGACGGCCGCCCACCCGGAGCGCACGCCACCAGAGCCCCGCCCGGGCTCCCGGACCCTAACTCGGAAACGTCCGAGCGGCCCCGACAGCCCCCCGCCTACGGCCCTGGACCCCGACCTGGGAAACGTCCCAGCGGCTCCAAGGGCCCCAGGCTGCCGAGCCCTGCCTCGGAATAAGTCCGAGCGGCCTCGTCAGCCCGTCTCCTCGGGCGGGACGGACTCCCGATCCCCCCAACATGGGGAGACCGAAAAGTCCACCCCCCATCCTCCCGAGCTCCCCCGGGAAAGACACCCGTGGGGCCCGGTGAAGGGGACACCCCTACCGACGAGTGCTCTCGGTTCTGCCTCGACATACCCGTCGAGACAGCCGAGACCGGAGTCGCCGGACTCCGTACCTCCCCCCATTAACTGAAAGGAGGGGTGGTACACTCTTGGTCAGCGGACGCCCAGCCGATGGAACCGCCGGAGCCTAAAGCGGCACACAGACGGTTCCAGGCCGAACGCCCGCCTAAGCTCCCCCACCACGACAAGGTGGCGCACCACGGGGGAGTGTGCGATGGCCCTACACCAATAGACAATCATGTTATCAATCATAGCTACCATTTTAGCTACGGTTGATTCTATTTTAGTTGTGGCACAAACCTCGAATTTACAACATTATTTGTGTAAATTTGCCGGTGTAGCTACAATATTAGCTATGTTACCAAAATTTTTAGTTCCAACAGCTAGGCAATGTGCGCGTCATAACTAATTATCTTTATACGTACTGCTATAGCTATTCTGTGCAGTACATGCTGGAGCTAAATCTTTACTTGTCACAGTTACAAGTCTTTCAGCTAATAGAAATAGATGTCGCAACTACAAGTTTAGGTGTCCATATAATACAAGTCAAGTTTAGTTACAGGACCTAGTTTTTAGCTGTGGGAGCTAATTTTTTTCCGTGTGCTTACCTTGCACGGAGCGTAACTGCTGTTGCTGCTTCTGTAAAAAAACGTAACGATTAAAAACATGTAATTATATGTAACAAACACACAAGTGCAATGTTACTTACGTTCGTGGATGGCGCTCTCCACTCGCCCTGACTCGTTGAGTCGCTCTACGAGATGACTCGTGTGTACCTGTAACAAACAGAAGATACATATAGAGTATCAGTTGCTGAAAAAGAACGGCAGCGGCTCGTGCTTGCCTTTGTCCTTTTAGGATAATACAGTACTTACGTTGCACAGCGAAGAGCGAGTGCTGCTGCTCGGGCTGCTGCTGCTGTAATGTGATAAAAACGTACCGATTAGAATTTTATGTAAGAAACATAAATGCAATGTGTGCTTACCTTAGCCAGCTTAGATTGCCGAACATGTCTTCGCTGCTGCTCGTGCTACTGCGGCGGCTGCTCATGCTGCTGCTGCTTCTGTCATAAAAATGTAACGATTAGAATTAAATGTTAACAGTTAAACGGTTGCAAGTGAGGAAGCACGTCTGCTTCGAGATTTCATATTTTTACCTCAAGGTGTCAAAAATGAAATCTCGGAGCAGACGTTCCTCCGGCAAACTGTGACTCTAGATGGGTTTCGAGTCTTTATAACGTGAAATTTACCAAGTTTTAGAGTATTCACCCACTCTAGAATATTCTGCTTTACAGAAATATGCCAAAAACTGTGATTCTACATGGGTTTCGAGTCTTTATAACACGAAATTTCCCAAGTTTTAGAATATTCACGCATTCAAGAATATTCAGCTTTACAGAAAAGTTAACCGTTGTGTTTCAAGCCAACTATCGCTATATGCATATGTACATAATCTCGAATTAATCGCATGCAGTATGATGATTTATTTTTATTGTTATTACCCAGTAAGCAATCTATAGTAGTCTGCTGACAGATTAACGTCAGATTCTATCAGAATCTGTCAATAGAATCATATAGATATATCCGTGTATTATAGAATCATAGATATCATAGATATCTGTGTCCGCATTTAGCTCATGTTCTGTCGACAGGTTGCTGGCAAATTCCAACTTGAAGCTGATCGCATTTAATGTAGACTGTAACCGTTAACGTATGCCGGAACCGAAAAATTTCAACACGCGATTTTAATGCTTTTGTTCATTGCATAGACGAACGCTTTAAAATTCCAATGTTGCACTTTATCGGTTCCAGCCTGCATAAATAGAAATACTTAGTTTCTTCTTATTCTGTGGTTGCTTCTTGGCCAATTTGATTCAACTAAATAATTTTATGTATATTTTTGCAGATTAACAAAAATTATTTACTTATTCAAATTGACCAAGAAGCAACCACAGAATAAGAAAAAAAGCAAGTATTTCTATTTATGCAATCATTAATTTTTGCAGACACTTGGGAAAATGAAACGTCGAGTGAAACCATTTATTGAATTATCGAGATGGCAACAAAGCAGACGTTTACGTCAAAGTATGGACGAAGCAATTTTTGAAAATTATGATTTCAATGAGGAAACTAGTATAGATACTACCATGTTCAGTATCAACACGAACAGTCTTCGTGTTCGTGCTGTCTTTTCGCGTAATGAATAGATTGTGTTATTCGTAAATGTATTGGTTTATTCGGTCTTTAAAATACGCCACAATTTCACAGTGTCCCGC